ACACACACTAGATCCTCTTCATTTATTTTCTCAAAAAAAAATCCTCTTCAATTATGTAAAAAATATGGCGTGGAGGCCATCTAGCGCCGCTTTTTAAACTTCATCCCTAGTATTCTCTTCGTCTGGAATTACTTGTCGCATCCATTTATGCGATGCCACAAGTTATTCCGGGCAAAAGGGAGTATATGATTTATCTGGCTCTTCATGCATAGCATCGGTAACTCGTGGTTTTACCCTCTGAAGGAGCCGCTGATCCGGCTCGTGCACCCCCGCAGTGAACAGGGAGTCGTTGGAGAAGCCGGAACCGTAAAAAAAAAGCGCGGCGACGGAGGAGTCGAGGACTTGGCCGGCGCCGACGAGAGCCGAAGTAGCGTGGCGCCAGAGAATATGTGTGGCATATACCGCTACGGCACTACTCCTAGCACCGTGGCGACGGATACGCAGTGTGGTTGACTGGTCAGGACGACGAGCGAGCGTACGGTCGGTCGCACCGTGCTGCGTGTGAAGTCAATTCTGTCGCGTGCATCGAGGCGTATACCGCAGCTGGATGCAGAGTAGCGGTCAACCGCGTGTACCCGACTGATCCGGGATCTGCTGCCCTGCCCGGGGAGACTTTGGGCGTTCGCCCATCGATGCGTGCGAGCAGTAGTACGCGTCATGCAAAGCCAAAATCCACGTACGTATGGGATGTGGACACGACACGCAAAGTGGGTGAACACATGGCGGCACGAGCGCACAACGTCCAGTACGTAGTACATACTCATGGTATTATTATACTAATACTGTACCTCGCGATGTGAGTACGTATACGTACGTGGCTACGTGCCACCCACCGCTCGTCGTTGCTTTCCAGCTGGCACGTATAATGTACCCACGTACGCGTACGCGCCCGCGGCCGCGGTAGGTTGGCAATGGCACCGACTGGATGGCCGGACCGGACGGAGGATGGTCTCGCCGGGGCGTCTCGGTCACGCGATTCGCCGATGCACGAGGAAGCAACCTGGCCGTGCCACGCGCGCATCGCACCGACGCATCCACCCATCCATCCAGCCAGCCTCTCTGACAGCGGAGGCGTAAAGCGCACCACCCCTCCACCTCCAGCCGCGCACGCTCGCCGGCCGGACGCTGCGGCCAACCAGCTGACGAGCGGGACCTGCCACCCTCCCGCGCCGCACCGCACCGACGTCGCACCCGACTGACGAGCGGGACCGGCCACCGGCTCGGTCGCCGCACCGCACCGACACCGCCGCGCAGCGAGCGCGCGCGCGACGCGCCAACCACGCACACCTTTTCCGTAACACGCAAATAATATATTTTTTTTAAAGTCCAGCGCGCGACCGGCGAGCAGCGAGCCAGCCGGAGCGTCGCTTCCACGCCAGCTCTCTCTCTCTCTCCGCTTTGATTCGATCCCCTGGCCGCGGTCCGACCGACAGCCCCCCGTCGCTCCCGGCACGTCCGATCCCGCCCACCGACGGCCGCGATCCGGTCTCCGAACATATGCGCATCCCACCTTCCCGGATGCCCCGGCAAAATCCCGAACCACCCCTCGGAAGCTCACGGAATCGCGACCCCGTACTAGCCGGTAGAGCGGGCGAGGGGCAGTTATGCGATTATGAGGGAACTCGCGGCTCCTGCCAGTACAAGAGGCCCGTCTCTGCGGACGCGCGGCTTTAAATGAGCAGCAAAAGGAGCGCAGCGAGCAGCAGTGCACAGCAGAGAAGCGGCGGGAAGTACGATACGATCCGAACGCGTCTCGCCTACTCTGCTTCCTCTGCTCCCCGGCTAGCTAGGGTTTGCTCCCTCGCCGCCGGCGCGCGTGGCCGTCTGAAGCAGATCCATCCCATCCCAGGTGCGTCTCTCTTCCTTCCTCGCCCCGTCGCCGCCATCCGTGCGCTCTCCGGCCGTGCAGGCTGTTTACTTGTCAGTGCGCGCGCTGTGCCTCCGCGTCGCCTCGCGTCTGCGGCCGCTGGACGTTTTGGATCGAGCGGAGCGGCGGGTGCCCGCTCTTTCCGTCTCCTCCGTTGGCCGAGCGGGTCGATTCCGGCGGCCGCGCGCGCCTCTGCTCGGCGGTTTCGGCTAGCGAAATGGCCGGATGAATCTGGCCGGGCAACTGAAATGCGCGGGGTTTTTGGGTACGTGTTAGGCATTCGCCTCCCATGGATGCTGGCGCCATGAAGCCTGCACCATTAGCCTGGTAGTTGTATTACTGCATCCTCAAGATTCATTCTTAGTGCAGTAGTAGCGTTTTCTGTACACAGATTCGGTATGCAGTCTTGTTTATCATTAATGGTTTCTGCCAAGGAAACAACCAAGTCACTAGCCTTGCTTATTAATTAATAAATAATGGTTTCTAAAACAGCTTCCTAGCCTCACTTATTTAATGGTTGCCAAAAAATCATCAGCCTTGTCCTCCAAAAATTTCGCTAGTTCTGCTTGTCCATGGCTTCTAAGTCATTTATCTGGTTGATATAATAAGAAATAGTCTTGACATCAAAAAAAAAATCACTAGTGCTACCTTGTTAATGATTAAAAATCACTAGTCCTGCTTATTGATGATTTCATCGCTGTACATTCACAACATGTATGTTTGTTCATATATTTAATCATCAATTACAAGATGTTGATGCATTTGCCCATGCCTGCTCTGTAAATAAACTGAAGAAGGTGCTAGCATTCATCATACAGGGATATACATGAAAAACCATCCATCGATATCAAGTTCCTGGTTTCGTTGGGTTGCTTGGGTCAATTATATTGTTTGGTTGCTGCTGTCAACGTAGTTGGACAAGTTGTTTTTTCATGAGAGTGCCAATTTTGTATTACTGTGTTTGCTCATTTGTGCCTATGATCTCCTGACATGGTGTTATCATATCTAGTCTTTATTCAAAGCTCGACGATCGCTTTTTCAGTTAGCATTCTTGTATCTTCTATGATGGCATTAACTTAACTTCTGTTGGGATGGCTTCTGTATTTAGGGTTCTAATAGAAGCAAACATACAATTGTTTCCAGGTTTTTGTGATGGCTCCCGCTATTGAAGCAGCAGAGAAGGTCAAGGTGGCAAGCGCACCTGTTAAGGCTCCTGTTCTTAATGAAAGAACACTATCATCCATGACCCGGAGACCTGGTTCAGCGCATTCTTGGCATGATCTTGAAATAGGTATTTGGCATTTGATCTTGACAAGATGTCGATATCATTGTTTCCCTCTTCTGAAAACTTATGTTTTGGACTTCTTTGTGCAGGCCCTGATGCACCAACTATCTTCAACTGTGTAAGGCCGCGCCCTAATATATTCCTACTGATTTTTCTTTCCTTCTAATTTCGTTGTATAATAATTATCTAAAATAAATTTCTGTGTATTTACGCTACAAGTCCATATCAATAGCATAGCCCCTTTCCTTCTGTTAACTTGAAAAGCAAGGGTTCCACCTCATATAAAATATATATGTCATTTCAAGCTTCTCAATTTTGTTTAATTAGTTAATATCCAACATGCCTAGGAGTTCTGAACGACAAACTAAAAAATAGATGCTATTTTATGCCAGGTCATTGAGATACCTAGGGGCAGCAAGGTTAAATATGAACTTGACAAGAAAACTGGACTGATAATGGTAAAGCATTGCTGTTCATTTCCCCTCCTATTTTGAATCTCTCTTGCCCCATCGTTCTTATGGTTTTCGTTGGCTATATGCACGCGTGCAGGTGGACCGCGTGCTTTATTCATCAGTGGTGTACCCTCACAACTATGGATTCATTCCCCGCACACTGTGCGATGACAGTGATCCGATGGATGTGCTAGTTATTATGCAGGTATGTCTTACTACTTCCCTTTTGTGGTGTACCCTCACCAAATGGGTAGAAGGCCGTTGTACTTCCTACTGTAGAGTCTGTTGGTTGGTTGTAGAACATTACCAATCTGCATTCGCAAATCTTTGTAATTTGTTGATACAGGAGCCAGTTGTGCCGGGCTGTTTCCTCCGTGCAAAGGCGATCGGCCTCATGCCTATGATTGACCAGGTTTGCTTTCATAGTTTCATCGCTCAGCCCTGCAGTCCAAAGAAGGCAGAGATCCTGATCAGTATTTATTTGAACAGGGAGAAGCAGATGATAAGATCATTGCAGTGTGCGCTGACGACCCTGAATACAAGCATTTCAATGATATCAAGGAGCTCCCACCTCACCGGTTGGCTGAAATCAGACGCTTCTTTGAGGACTGTATCCTTGTTGATCAACTTATATTCTCTCACCTTTTCAATGAAATGAAACGCAAAGAGTCCTTTGCGTTTTCTCGAGAAAAAAAAAACTTATATTCAGATATGAATAGCAAGTATTCCACAAAACAAAAAGTTTGCTTATTTTGGTTTTACTTGCAGAAAAGAGCCCCCTAATTTTTAACCTGCAGGATACTTCTAGGAAAAATCACCAGCCCTCGCCTCTTTTATGAATTACCGGTGCATGGCTATGTGCATTTGTAGTTTGTTTAGAGCTGAAACATGGATAAATGGACAAGGCAGTGCAAGTTTGTAGTACATGTCTCCCTCTTAGATCGAATGATTTCTTTAACCGCGACGTCTAGACAAGAAGAATGAGAACAAGGAGGTCGCTGTGAACGACTTTCTGCCGGCGACTGCTGCTTACGAGGCCATTCAGCATTCCATGTGAGTGTTTCTTTCTTGAATCCCCTCAGCATGGCTGTCCTAGATGATCTTGGTGCTGAGCTGACGCCGGTCTTCTTGGTGTTCTGTTCACAGGGATCTGTATGCTACTTACGTCGTGGAGGGCCTGCGGAGGTAGGCTGCTGCCCGGAGGTTCGGCTCGACGCGCTGCTCCTTGTCGTCGGGGCCGGGACGATGTTGGCGAAAACCGGAGAATGAGACACTGTCACCTTACGAACTAAGTACTGTTATTTTGTTGGTGTTGGCATATGTACCACTGGTTCTTATGACCTTGAATGTACTAGTAGTTAGCACAAGAAAGAGTGGCGCAATATTCTTTTGTGGCCTCGGTGCCCCTATGTTGTTACCTTCATGTTGATTCTCTTGACGATTCAAGTCAGGCATAAAAAATTCGTTGTCAATTTCTCACGGTCAGATAATCAAGTATGTCATGGCTGCTGATTCCTTTACACCACAAAGAATACAGAGATGGTTCCTGATAGCAGAATTTCAACCTAAATGACATAAATTTCACCTACAGAAAATAGTTGGCATATCTGGTACTCCCTTATTTATAAATCAACACACAGAATGGTCACTTAGTAGTACCCCCTTATTCATTTGCAAAACAAGAACCATGTCTCTCCCTTAGAAAATCAACAAACACAATGCCCATTTAGACACTGTTACCTTGCAAAATACTACTCCGTCCCAAAAAGCTTGTATTTGTCTAGATTTGGATGTATCTAATACTAAAACGTGTCTACATTCATCCATATCTAAGCAAATGTAAGGCGAACTTTTTGGGACGGTTGGAGTACGAACTACTATAGATTTGCTAGTGTGACTTGAGCATGCACCAGCGAATCATCTTGAAATGTTATTTTGTAGCCTTTTGCCCCTTCAAGTCAGGCATGAAATTTGTGATGTCACGTTTCAAAGATTCAGTCTATTGTGACTCCTTTGCAAGAATGCAGAGATGAACACCATAACTAATCAACCAAATCAGAAGCTGTTCCAAATACAAACTTTCGTAGAATACCTTAAGGAAAACTAGTTGTAAAGTAGAATCCCTTACAGAAAATCAGTTGTAAAGCAATCATGAAACTTGTAAGCAACGGCAACTATCCCAACACTGCTCAGCGTGCTCGTACAACAAATGCAATACAGTTAAAACAGGACGGAAGTTCAGTGGCGTTTTAACAAACACTGCATTAGAAACCAGATTGATATAGCAGAACAGAGGAAGCAAGACGCTTCCTCTTCGTTCACGGTTACATGGCGGGGCAAAGCAAAAGAACAAGCTTCAACACACTCTGGAACACACCACAGCTAACTTAACACAGAGACACTAGGCACACGAGGGCTGACGGAGCACCATCAGTCCAGTTCACCGGCACGGGCGCTCGGAGCCAGATCTACGCCTTGGTGGCCTTCTTGGGGGACTTGGTGGCCTTCTTGGGCGACTTGGTGGCGGTCTTCTCGGCCTTCTCAGCCTTCTCGGCGGCCTTCTTGGGGAGCAGCACCGGGTTGATGTTGGGGATGACGCCGCCGTGGGCGATGGTGACGCCGGACAGCAGCCTCCCGAGCTCCTGGTCGTTGCGGATGGCCAGCAGCAGGTGCCTGGGCACGATGCGGCTCTTCTTGTTGTCCTTGGCGGCGTTCCCGGCCAGCTCCAGCACCTGCAAAACAAGATCGGCGGCTCGTTTCAGTCCGGGGAGAGAGGTAGGTCGGAGGGGAGGGTGATGACGAGGATGACGGTGGTGCATACCTCTGCTGCGAGGTACTCGAGGACGGCGGCGAGGTAGACGGGGGCGCCGGAGCCGACGCGCTGGGCGTAGCGGCCCTTCTTGAGGTAGCGCCCGATGCGGCCGACGGGGAACTGGAGCCCGGCCTTGATGGACTTGGTCACCGACTTCTTCCTCGGCCCGCCGAACTTCTTCGCCGCCACCTTCTTCGCCTTGCTGCCGTCCATCTTGCTTGCTGGCGGGTTGCTGGGGCTCCGGCGAGAGGGTTTGGGAGTGGGTGGGAGCTGAGCTGTGGTGCGGTTGAGGTGGTTTGAAAATGGAGGCGCTGTGGCTGGGATTATATACCCGCGGGGGTCGGGGGGCGATCCGCGTGATGTGTGGCGCGGGCCGTTGGATGGAGGGCGGCGTGGACGGTGGATGTTCGCCTTGGGGGCGTGATCCGTGGGAGGGGGCCGCGGGCCAATCAGAGGAGCGGAGCGGAACGGCACAGCCGAAGGAGAGAGCACGTGAGATCATCGGGTCTCTCGTGACCAGGAGCGAGCAGATTGAGATATTTGAGGCCGTGTGTTTTCTTCTGTCTTTTTTAGTCTTTTTTTTTGAAGCTTCTGTCTTTTTTATCCGAAATCATAGTATATCTCTACTGTAATTAAACATATAGAAAAAGTATCAATATCCACAATGCCAAATTTTGTCAATATTATTAGATTCATTATGAAATATAGTTTTATGGTATATATATTCCGTGTTGTAGATGTTGATATTTTTTAATATAGATTTGATCAAACTTTACAAAGTTTGACTTGACGCAAATCTAATACGCGGAGTAAAAAACACCAAAGGGAGTACATCATTTGGGTGCGTTTGGTTGCCTGCATACAACCCAAACAAGTTCGCGTGGGACAAAAAATAATTCGTTTGGTTGACTGTATTCACAGTTTGGTCTGCATTGCACGAACCTTAAAGCACTCACCAGTCCTCTCAGGAACGACCGATTCGACCATTTCCCCTCAGCCAGACTCGGGCGATGTAGGGAGGGGAATGCAGCGCCGAGCTCATGAGACCACGGAGATGGCGCGAGCTCGTGTGTGTCTTCGAAAAAGCGGCATGAGAAATTGGGGTCACCTCCCATCGATTAGATCGCCCTACATAGTCAGCCTCATCTCACCCCCCCCCAACTGGGCGCACCCCCAGTCTCCTGGGCCCCCTGGTGGCCCTCCGGTGTCCATCTTCTGCTATATGTAGGCTTTTACCCTGAAAAAAATCGTGGGCAACTTACGGGCCGAAACTCCGCCGCCACGAGGCGGAACCTTGGCGGAACCAATCTAGAGCTCCAGTAGAGCTGTTCTGCCGGGGAAACTTCCCTCCGGGAGGGGGAAATCATCACCATCGTCATCACCAACGATCCTCTCATCGGGAGGGGGTCAATCTCCATCAACATCTTCATCAGTACCATCTCCTCTCAAAACCCTAGTTCATCGCTTGTATCCAATCTTGTATCAAAACCACAAATTGGTACCTGTGGGTTGCTAGTAGTGTTGATTACTCCTTGTAGTTGATACTAATTGGTTTACTTGGTGGAAGATCATATGTTCAGATCCTTAATGCATATTAATACCCCTCTGATTATGAACATGAATATGCTTTGTGAGTAGTTACGTTTGTTCCTGAGGACATGGGTGAAGTCTTGCTATAAGTAGTCATGTGAATTTGGTATTCGTTCGATATTTTGATTAGATGTATGTTGTCTTTCCTCTAGTGGTGTTATGTGAATGTCGACTACATGACACTTCACCATTATTTGGGCCTAGAGGAAGGGCATTGGGAAGTAATAAGTAGATGATGGGTTGCTAGAGTGACAGAAGCTTAAACCCTAGTTTATACGTTGCTTCGTTAGGGGCTGATTTGGATCCATATGTCTAATGTTGTGGTTAGGTTTACCTTAATACTTCTTTTGTAGTTGCGGATGCTTGCAATAGGGGTTAATCATAAGTGGGATGCTTGTCCAAGTAAGGGCAGTACCCAAGCACCGGTCCACCCACATATCAAATTATCAAAGTACCGAACGCGAATCATATGAGCGTGATGAAAACTAGCTTGACGATAATTCCCATGTGTCCTCGGGAGCTCCTTTCTCATTATAAGAAATTGTCCAGGCTTGTCCTTTGCTACAAAAAGGATTGGGCCACCCTGCTGCACTTTATTTACTTTCATTGCTTGTTACCCGTTACAATTTATCTTATCACAAAACTATCTGTTACCTACAATTTCAGTGCTTGCAGAGAAAACCTTACTGAAAACCGCTTATCATTTCCTTCTGCTCCTTGTTGGGTTCGACACTCTTACTTATCGAAAGGACTATGATAGATCCCCTACACTTGTGGGTCATTAGTGCACCGGGTAGTCATCGGGTCACCGAAGGGGTTCCGCCCCCCGGCAAGTGTATGGGCCTTATGGGCCATAGGAGGGAACAGACCAACCACTAGGGGCTGGTGCGCCCCTCTACATGGCTGGTCGGCCCTAGGGGAGGAAAGGGGAGGGGTGGCCCCTCCCTCCTTTCCCTCCTCAGGAGAGAAAGGAAAGGCGCAGGGGGGAGGGGGGCAGCTCCTCCTTCCTTCCTCCCGCACTCCAATGAGGAAAGGGGGCGCCACTTGGGGAGGACCCCAAGTAGGGTTCGGCCTACTTGGGGCGCCCTCCTGGCTGCTCCCTCATCCCCCACCTGAAGATCACTCAAGATCTATCTAGGCGATGCATGTCAACAAGAGGGGAGAGTGTGTCCACGTACCCTCATAGACCGAAAGCGAAAGCATTTCAATAACGCGGTTGATGTAGTCGAACTTCTTCGCGATCCAACCGATCAAGTACCGAATGTACGGCACCTCCGCGTTTAGCACACGTTCAACTCGATGACGTCCCTCGTGCTCTTGATCCAGTTGAGGACGAGGGTGAGTTCCGTCAGCACGATGGAGTGGCGACGGTGATGATGATGTTACCGGCGCAGGGCTTCGCCTAAACACTATGATGGTATGATCGAGGTGTGTAACTGTGGAGGGGGCACCGCACACGGTTAAGAGAAACTTTGTGTGTCCTAGGGTGCCCCCTGCCCTTGTATATAAAGGAGCAAGGGGGAGGCCAGCCGGTCCCTAGGGGCGCGCCCAAGGAGAGGGAGTCCTACTAGGACTACTAGTCCTAGTAGGATTCCATCACAAGGAAGGGAGGGGGAAGGAAGGAGAGGGAGACGGAGTAGGAGAGGGGGGCGCCCCCCCTTCCCTTGTCCTATTCGGACTCTAGGGGGGGCGGACTGCCCTCGCTGCCTCCTCTCTCTCCACTAAGGCCCATGGTGGCCCATTAGTTCCCCCGGGGGGTTCCGATAACCCCTCCGGCACTCCGGTTCTATCCGAAACTTCCCGAAACTCTTCTGGTGTCCGAATAATTTGGTCCAATATATCAATATTTATGTCTCAACCATTTTGAGACTCCTCGTCACGTCCGTGATCTCATCCGGGACTCCAAACAAACTTCGATCATCAAAAACACATAACTCATAATACATATCGTCATCGAACGTTAAGCGTGCGGACCCTACGGGTTCGAGAACTATGTAGACATGACCGAGACACATCTCCGGTCAATAACCAATAGCGGAACCTGGATGCTAATATTGGATCGTACATATTCTACGAAGATCTTTATCGGTCAAACCGCATAACAACATATGTTGTTCCCTGCTACGTCTTGAGCTTGCGTTGGTTTTCCTTGATGAGGAAAGGGTGATGCAGCAATAGTAGCGTAAGTATTTCCCTAAGTTTTTGAGAACCAAGGTATCAATCCAGTAGGAGGCTCCTCAAAAGTCTCACGCACCTACACAAACAAACAAAGAACTCGCAATCAACGCAATAAATGGGTTGTCAATCCCTTCACGGCCACTTGCAAAAGTGAGATATGACAGAGATAGTATGATAAGATAAATATATTTTTGGTATTTTATAATATAGATTGGAAAACTAAAGACGCAAATAAAAGTAGATTGAAAGCTCATATGATAAAATATAGACCCGGGGGCCATAGGTTTCACTAGTGGCTTCTCTCAAGATAGCATAAGTATTACGGTGGGTGAACAAATTTATGTCGAGCAATTGATAGAAAAGTGAATAATTATGAGATTATCTAGGCATGATCATGTATATAGGCATCACGTTCGCGATAAGTAGACCGACTCCTGCCTGCATCTACTACTATTACTCCACACGTCGACCGCTATCCAGCATGCATCTAGAGTATTAAGTTCATAAGAACAGAGTAATGCATTAAGAAAGATGACATGATGTAGAGGGATAAACTCATGCAATATGATATAAACCCCATCTTTTTATCCTCGATGGCAACAATACAATACGTGCTGCTGTCACTGGGAAAGGACACCGCAAGATTGAACCCAAAGCTAAGCACTTCTCCCATTGCAAGAAAGATCAATCTAGTAGGCCAAACCAAACTGATAATTCGAAGAGACTTGCAAAGATAACTTAATCACACATAAAAGAATTCAGAGGAGATTCAAATATTTCTCATAGATAAACTTAATCATAAACCCACAATTCATCGGATCTCGACAAACACACCGCAAAAAGAGTTACATCTAATAGATCTCCAAGAAGATTGAGGAGAACATTGTATTGAGATCCAAAAAGAGAGAAGAAGCCATCTAGCTAATAACTATGGACCCGAAGGTCTGCGGTAAACTACTCACAACTCATCGGAGGGGCTATGGTGTTGATGTAGAAGCCCTCCGTGGTCGATTTCCCCTCCAGCGAAACGCCGACGAAGGCTCCAAGATGGGATCTCGCGGATACAGAAGGTTACGGCGGTGGAATTAGGTTTTCGGTTGCTCCTTTGATGTTCTTGGGGTACGTGGGTATATATAGGAGGAAGAAGTAGGT